GGAGGGTGGCGGCCTAGCGCGCGGCGCCACACCCAGGCCCTCCGGAGGTGACGGGCTTGCCCCGCGCGCCCCGACCCCACACCCACCTAGGCGCGCTCGCTTGCGGCCTGGGCCCGGCCCGAGCCCCCTGTGGCCAGGCTGCCCGTGAAGGCGCCCTGCCCTGCGGGGGGAGGTGCCACTGCGCGGAGGCGGACCCCCAGAGCCAAGGAACCCCCAGGGCAGGCATTCGGGCTGTCCTCAAAGCAGGACTGCCCGCAGGAGCGTGCAACTTCAGAAGTGTGTTGCGTCCGGGAGGGCAGGCCCTGGTACCCAAGGAGACCCCTCAGAGGCCCGAAGGGACACAGGGCAAGCATTTGGGCTCCCCGAAGGCAGGGCTAACTGCAAGGGCGGGGAGACTCCCAGTTGGGGTCAGCAGTGCTCAGACCGTCCACACTGGCATCCTGAGGGCCAGCGGACGTGGGCTGCAGAAGCCTGTGACCCCTTGGACTCTGCCAGGAACACTGAGCTTCTGTCCCTGGTGGGCCAAGGGAGGCTGGCTTTATGCCGAGCACCCCCCACCCCCCGGTCCCCTCAGAAGATAGGTAATCCTAGGAATTCCCAGGGCCACAGGCTGCCCCATGAGGCTCTGGGTCCAGTAGAGGTCTGTCCCAGTGACCCTGTTCTCCTCCTGCAGAGCACCTGGTGAACGGGAGGATGGACTTTGCCTTCCCGGGCAGTGCCAACTCCCTGCCCAGGGTGACTGTGGCCAACGCCACCTACGGCACCCACCTGAGCCCACAACTGTCCCACCGGGTGCTGAGCACGTCCTCCACCCTCACGCGGAACTACCACTCGCTGACCCGCACAGAACACTCAGTCTCTGCCACGCTGCCCAGAGACTACCCCACCGTCACCTCTGTCTCCTCCCACAGTGAGTGTCCGCAGCCAACCCTTCTTCTCTTCCAGCCCCAGCAGGTTCGGGGTACTGGCCCGGCCCTGCCCTGCTGCCCATCCTCCAACACACACACCTCCTGCGCGCTCACTCTCGTTTTGTCCTGCCGTAGGCCTCCCTCCCATCTGGGAAGAGGGGAGGAGCAGGCTCCCGCTGTCCTGGGCCCTGGGGCCCCTGAGTCGGGCTCAGATGAAGGGGTTCCCTCCCTCTGGGGACTCCCGAGACACTATAATCCTGGCTGGGCAGCCAGCAGCGCCCTTTCGGGGCCCAGGTAGTACAGGGGTGGCCATCCTGTGTCTGCACAGCTGTCCTGCTCCATCTGTCACCCATCTGCTCATTGCAGCCACTGCCCAGACCAGCACCTTACCCTCCATCCCATCCCCATCAGTGCTGACGCCTAACACAGGCTCTGTCCTTTCCAGGGGTGCTGGGCTGGGGGAGGAGAGGCGCCAGGCCAGCGGGGGAGGGGTGGGGGGCCGGCAAGCCCACACCCACTCTGAGATGTGTGGGAGGTGCTGGGTGGCCTGGACAGGGTGTTGCAGGGTGAGCGAGCTGCCGGACCAGCAGTCAGCGGAAAGGAGACAGCTGAGGGGGGTCAGGGGATAGAGGCAGGACTCCTGCCCAGAGTCCCCGGACACAAACTGCCTGCGGCTTCCCGCCTTCAGACTCCCGCTTGGCTGCCGGTGTGCCCAACACGCCCACCCGCCTGGTCTTCTCAGCGCTGGGACCCACGTCTCTGAAAGTGAGCTGGCAGGAGCCGCGGTGTGAGCAGGCGCTGCAGGGCTACAGCGTGGAGTACCAGCTGCTGAACGGCGGTGAGGCCCAGCTGCTGCTGGCGGGCTGTGGGGCGGACGCCTGCCAGGCTCGGCCCTGTGATGGGACCCACAGGATCACCCAGCTGGACAGGAATCCAGCCAAGTCCCTTGAACACTAATGGTCCCCACCAGACTTTCTCTCACTTCCATGCTCCTCCCTGCCCTTCACTGCCCCCTCTCTCCTCATCTGTCTCCCTGGGCCTCTCTCCAGGTCATTGCCTCTGCTAGGTTTTGCCCGAGGCTTCACTGGCTTAGGGACCTAGGGCCTCTGCTGGCCTGGGAGATGGCTTTGTGGGAGCTGGGAAGTGGTGCTTCCCTGGGAAGACAAACTCAGAGCAGCAGGACTTGGGCCCATAAACAGCCAGAACATAGGTGGGATTTTAGGCTGCACTCATCCCTTGCATAGTGTACAGCCTAAACAACCAACCATGCCATTCCAGGCTGATCCCACCTGCCACCAAACCACAGCTAATCCTGGATGAGTGATGACCAGGTCTTGGTGGCAGCCTAGGGTAGGCACGGGAGTAACACCGCTCCCCTGTCTCCCACCCCACCCCCAGGGGAGCTGTATCGGCTCAACATCCCCAACCCCAGCCAGACTTCAGTGGTGGTGGAAGACCTTCTGCCCAACCATTCCTATGTGTTCCGTGTGCGGGCCCAGAGCCAGGAAGGCTGGGGCCCAGAGCGTGAGGGCATCATCACCATTGAGTCGCAGGTGCACCCCCAGAGTCCGCTCTGCCCCCTGCCAGGTGAGCTGCCTCCCCACCCCATGGCTGCCCCCATGATGTCCCCTAGTCACCCACACACTGACACCCTTGCTCTGCTGCCTCCAGGCTCCACCTTCACCTTGAGCACACCCAGCGCCCCGGGCCCGCTGGTGTTTACCGCCCTGAGCCCAGACTCGCTGCAGTTGAGCTGGGAGCGGCCACGCAGGCCCGAGGGGAACATCCTTGGCTACCTGGTGACCTGTGAGCTGGCCCATGGAGGAGGTGCTGCCTGCCCCCAGGTCAGGGGTGGCCAGGGAAGGGGTGGAGAGGGAGCCACAGAGGCTAAAGGCATCTTCCCTGTCCAGAGCCAGCCACCACGTTCCTGGTGGATGGTGACAGTCCTGAGAGCCGCCTGACCGTGCCAGGCCTCAGTGAGAACGTGCCCTACAAGTTCAAGGTGCAGGCCAAGACCACGGAAGGTTATGGGCCAGAGCGTGAAGGCATCATCACCATCGAGTCCCAGGATGGAGGTTGGGATCCTCACCCCTTCGTAACCCCTACCCTTTCTCTGGCGACCTCTTCTCTCGCCATTATCTCTGACTGGCCCATCTGCCCATGCCAGGCCCTTTCCCACAACTCGGCAGCCATCCTGGGCTCTTGCAGCACTCACTGCCAGGCGAATATAGCAGCGTCACCACCACCCACACCAGCACCACCGAGCCCTTCCTCCTGGGTGAGCTGCTGGGCAGGGGCTTTCCTGGGGGGAACACAGAGCTCTCAGAGCAGGAAAGCCAGGGCCCCAGGCAGAGTCCTTCAGTGCTTCTTCCCCTGCAGATGGACTGACCCTGGGGTCCCAACACCTGGAAGCAAGTGGCTCCCTCACCCGCCACGTGACCCAGGAGTTTGTGAGCCGGACGCTGACCACCAGTGGAACCCTCAGTACCCAGGTGGACCAACAGTTCTTCCAGACCTGAGCCCCCCACCCTTACCCAACAGTGTGCTGGAACCTGGGCCCCCACCCTGCCTCCTCTCCCTGGCTGTGGCTCAGCTACTCCATCCTTGGACCCCTCGCAGCCCGGCACACGCGCATCCTGATCACAGGGCCAGTACGTCTGGCTACAGAGCAGAGGGAAGGTGTCCTCTGGGAGGAATGAAGGGAGCAGAGGTCCCAGAAGGCCCTTCTGGCTGCAAGTCCCCTACCCCAGGCCCAAGCCCATCTGTGTGTAACCAAAGAGCTGGGAGAGCATGACAAGGGCCCAGCTTTGTTCTGCACTTAATAGAAGATTTTGCTACCGCTCGGCTCTGCCCCACCCGTTCTTCCAGGGAGTGCCCGCACAGAGCAGGGGGGTGGTTCTGACACAGCCCCTCGGATCCCCAAGCACACACCCACCTCTAGAGGCAGGCAGGCGGGTCACCATGGTGGGAGGCACAAGTTTATTGAGCAGCCAGATGCAGAGGGCAGCGCCAGAGGCCTGGAGCTTCGTGACGTGCTGCCCAGTAGGCCCCCTGCCCCCGGGGTGCCATCCCCGGGCGGTGCCTCAGCAGCTCAGCACCTTGGCACCATCGGCCGCCCGAGAGAGGTAGAAAGTGGCAGTACCGCCATATTGCTCCTGTGGGAGAGGCAGGTGCGGTCCGAGTGCGGCAGGGCCCTGGGGACCCATTTCTCCGTTCCTCCTACCCCCGGGCGCTGGTGGCCACCCACCTGTATGTGCTGCATGGCTTGGGAGGTGGAGGAGGCCTCCAGCAGGGTCACGGTGCAGCCGCCAAAGCCACCACCGGTCATGCGGCTGCCGTAGACCCCAGGTGCAGACAGCGCGGCCTCCACGAGCTGGTCCAGCTCCGGACAGCTCACCTCGTAGTCATCCCTGCAGAGAGGACAGAGGAGAGGGCGGGCCTAGCACGGGCCCCACCCTGCCCCGGGGCTCAGCCTCTGCCCCCAGCGGTCCTCACCTGAGCGAGTGGTGACTCTCCACCATGAGGCGGCCGAAGGCTCGGTAGTCTCCGCGGCTCAGGGCTGCTGCTGCCTGGGCCGTGCGCCGGATCTCACCCACGACATGCCGTGCACGCCGGAAGCCCTCCTTGCTCACCAGGTCTCTGCCAGCTGGGGAGGGAAAGGGGTCAGCGGGCCTGCCACCCACCACCTCTGGGCCCTGCCAATGTGGGGATGGGGGAGCCAAGGCGGTGGCCTGGGGGTGGGAGGCTGGGGGGCGGTTCTGACAAAGCTGTACGTAGAACCTTGTGTTGGTGACTAAGGTTCGGAGCCTCCCCCCAACTATAAAATGGAATGCTCGTGTCACTCGGGGCGCAGTAAGCATTGAGAGAGAGAACGCATGGAGAGCTCCCATCCCAGCAGGGTGCCTGGTGCACAGTGGGTGCTCACTGAACAGCAGGGTAAGCCCCAGACCCTTGTTGCTTCCAAGGTTGAGGGGGAACACAGGGGAACACAGTAGCACAAGAGGGAGAAATCCTCCTGCTGCTCTTCATGCTGGAGCATCAACTGGGGAGGCTGGGGCTCTAGAGTTGGGGTACAGCCCAGGCAAAGATCAAGAGGCAGGGCACGCCAGGATCAGGCCCTCCCGCTGGCTAACGCTGAGGTGGGGAGGGCAAGCTGAGTAGGTCGTGGCCGCCCTGATTGCCAGGGGGTTTGCTACTTGATTCTGGATGCCACAGAGGTTTGGGAGCAGGGAAGGGCTGACAAAAGCGACTGCCTTGGGCAGAGGGTCCGAGCTGGGAGAAGCAGGCACCAGGAGCCAGACAGCAGCTGCTAAACACTCAGAAAGCAACAAGGGGCCTGATGTGGGGGGAGGAAGGGGAGATAAGAGTGGGAGGGGGGACAGTGAGGACACAGAGGTGACCGAGGTCTCACACAGGAGTGACAAGGATAAGAAATAACAGGCAAGGGGAAGTCAGCAGGGGAAGCCTATAAGGGAGGAAGGACGAGGAGTTATGCTGGGAATCAGGTGGGGGCTCTGGGGCAGCAGGTGGAAATGTGGGGAGGCTCCAGCCAGGGGAGCAAGGGGCTGCAGGCTCCAATCCGAGTCCTAAGTGGAACGAACAGTGGTGGCTGGTGCTGTGGGTTGAGGACAAAGCCTGGGGCGGGCACGTGCAGAGAAACAGGGCTGTGAGCAAGCAGGTCTAGTGCCTGCCAAGGTGGGGGGGGGAGCCCCTGGGAGAGCTGCTGTTTTGGGGGGGGTGACTGAGAGGATTGAGAAGTGAACATAGATGACAAAATGGGGGCCATAAGCATTAGGCCTTCCCCCAACACTGACACAGGAAAGAGATTCAATTTTAGAAGGGAAGAGAACTGGCCAAGTTTGCAAGCAGGAGGGGAGGAGCCAGGCAGAGGACAGGAAGAAGGCAGAGTAGGGCTCCTGGCACAGGACTCTGAAGGCAGAGGGGAGCACTGGGGTCCCCAGGGAGGGGAGACCCCCGAGGAGTGGTGGGGAAGGCATGCAGTGGAGAGGAGGGACGGCCAAAGTGTTCCAGTGTGAAAACCTCCGCCAAAGTCACCTGCACGGAGCAGGCGGGGCAGGTCTGAACGGGACAGTTCACCAAGAAGCACAAGGCAGTCCCACAGGGCTGGCCATCGTCCCTGCAACAGGCACTAGCACACTGCCAGGGAGGGCCCAACTCCCAGGGCCAGCAGTCTGGCTGGGGACAGGCTAGGGGGCTAAGCTGCCTGGTCCGAGGCTCAGCACTGCCACGTACTGTGGGGCCCTCATCCAAAACACGGGGAATAATAATGATATCGGCTTCACAGGGTGTGGCAGAACCAGGGGATATTCATCTGACCTTCAAACTATCAAATATACTATCTTCCTGGCCACGTGTGTCAGGAACCTTTTAGATACATGCACTTTCGACTCTGCAATCCTACTCCTCGGAATCTAATCCTAAGAAAATAACAAGAGAATGCAGATAAACTCATGTATGAAAACAATCATCACAGTGTCACATGTGATTATCAGTAAATGATTAAGTTACGGTACACCTGCGTGCTGGAGTCTGTAGCTTTTACAGGCCCCCTTGATGACATGCTGGCACAGTAAAGGGTTCTCAGATAACGTTAGAAAAAGAGAAACAGGGGTGCCTGGGTGGCTCAGTCAGTTAAGCGTCTGCCTTCCTCTCAGATCATGATCCCAGGGTCCTGGGATTGAGCCCCACATCGGGCTCCCCGCTCGGCGGAGAGTTTGCTTCTCCCTCTTCTTCTGCACCTCCCCCTGCTCATGCTCTCTCTCTCTATCTCTCTGTCTCAAATAAACTAAAAAAAAAAAATCTTTAAAGAAAAAAACAATATTAAGGGGCACCTGGGAGGCTCAAGTGGTTAAGCATCTGACTCTTGATTTCAGCTCAGGTCTTGATCTCAGAGTTATGAGTTCAAGCCCCACGCTGGGCTCCACGCTGGGTGTGGAGCCTACTTAAAAAAAAGAAAAAAAGGAAAAACAATGTAAGATCTCGAGTAGCCCTGCTGAGGTAGGAGCCCTAGGTGTGCTGTGTTGGGGCAGTGGGCAGAGCACAGGTGAGGCCCCTGGGGATGAGGGGGTGTACGGCAGGGTCAAAGCCACACGGAGGGCCCCGCAGCCCCGCAGGGTGCCCAGCCAGCTCTCACCCTCCAACTCCTCCAGCTGCACCTCCCGAAGGCTCTCCTTGCCCAGCGCCCGGGCCACTGCCTCACATTCGCGCCGCCGCAGAGGGTACTCGCTGGAGCCCAACGAGTGGCGGACATTGGAGTTGGTGATGAGCACGGCCAGCTTAGGTTCTGACAGCGGCACCAGGCTTGTCTCCAGGGACCTGGCATGGAGTTGCAATGAGGAGATGACAAGCCCAAGTGTCCGCGTGCCACACCAGCCAGTGGGCATGCTCCACCCAGAAGCTCCTGATGATGAGGGGAGCCCCTGACCTGCAGTCAATGAGCAGCGCGTGGCCTTTCTGCCCCAGCAGTACGATGAGCTGGTCCATGATGCCACAGGGCACCCCTGCGAAGCTGTGCTCGGCCCGCTGACACACCTGAGCCCGGGCAGCTATGGACCCCGAGTCTGCGGCAGGGGAG